TAGCTTAAATGGCTGCAAAATATAACTTGGGCTATGAGATGTACCAGACTTTACTTTTCCTCAAAGTCTTAGGACCTCTTGGGGAGCTTCTCCCAGTAGATCCAGCTATTCCCACACTAATCACCAGGCTCACCCCACCTCCTCTGTGCAGCCTTCTCTAAGCAACCCTATTGGCCCTGGATTTTCTTTCTCTCCAGACAGAACTTATTGTCTGTCCTCTCTTTTGACACGCAACACATACCACGTTGTATTTTTAGATACCTTTCTCTCATGTTAGTATTTGCTATCCAATCAGATAATAAATTCTCTAAGTCTGGCAGCCAAATCTTATTTTTCTCTTACATCCCTACCAAGAGTGTCCAGTGATGACTGATTTACTGGTGACTGATTGAAGCCTCTATCCCCTCTTCACTCTGAGCAGCCTCTTCTCTCCAACCCTTTCCATGTGATAAAGGTGTGACGGGTGAAGTGGGAATCTTTTACTTGTATAATTCACAGACACAAGGCCTATGCTGAGCAGCACAGCGATCTAAATGCTTCTTCTATGGCTTCTCAGGTAGAAGGGGACGGGCAGGGGGAAGGAAATGACATTTATATATTCTCTCTACACTACAATGACCTACATTTCCAAGACAGAGACTTTACACAAAAGACCACAACAAAGGATTGTTTTTGTTGTTTTTAATGAATGTATGTATTTAAATTTTTAAGCTTAGAAGTAATTTAATCTAACTCATTTAATAATTTAGAGGTAGACTAAGTGTTAGTGGCAGCAATAAGACTTAAACTCATCTGTCTTAAGTATATGGTCAGTGTTCATAGACTAATTTTCCTTCTTGTTAGGAATTAACTCAAAAAAGGAAAAAAGAATGATCATAGTGTATAATAATTTTCTCATGGTGTAAAGTTTCACTTTAATCTCTAGTTTATCTCAGCTTAATTGACCAAAGAATATTTGAGATTTTCACATATCAACAATGTATTTTTTAAAACCACAGGTATCAACACTAACTATAATTGAAAGACACTGGGTGCTTCTAAACATACTTTTATTAGCAGTGAAAATGGAGAAATAAAAGAGAAAAAATGTAAGGAAATTGTAATGAGAAAAAAATATAAGTATTTACTCTTGAGTTTCAGTTTAAACATGGAACATTTAAAACATTTCAACTATAGGAAGGTACACAATCATAAAATGGGTAAAAGACTTGAATGGACATTTCACCAAAGAGGATATTCAAATGGTCACCAACATTTGAATGGAGACGCACAACATCATTGTTCATCAGACAGCTGTAAATCAAAACCATAATGAGATGTCACTTCATGCCCACTAGAATGACTAAGATAACACACACACAAAACTAACAAAACAAAAAATCACAAATATTGGTAAAGATGTGGGGAAATTGAAATTCGTCTATTGCTGGTGGGAATGCAAAATAGTACAGCCATTGTGGAAAACAGTGTGTTGGGTCCTCAAAACAAAATCAACTTAGAATAGAACTACCATTGTTGTTGTTGTTATGTGCTGTGGAGTCGGTTCTGACTCATAGAGACCCTGCACAGGGTTTCTGAGGCTGTAAATCTTTACGGGAGCAGAAAGTCTCATCTTTCTCCCATGGTAAGGCTGGTAGTTTTGAACTGCCAACCTTGAGGTTAGCAGCCCCATTCATAACCACTCCCCTACCAGAACCACCATGTTGTTGTTGTTGTTGTTGTTAAGTGCCATCGAGTCGGGTCCGACCCATAGTGACCCTGTACAGGGTTTCCGAGGGTGTAAATCTTTACGGGAGTAGAAAGCCTCATCTTTCTCCCGTGGAGCAGCTGGTAGTTTCGAACTGCTGACCTTAAGGTTTGCAGCCCGATTCGTAAGCACTACGCTACCAGAGCTCCAGAACCACCATATGACCCAGCACTTCCCCTCCTAGGTATACACTCAAAAGATTTTGAAAGCAGAGTCTCAAAAAGATCTTTGCATACCAATGTTCCTTGCAGCATTATTCACGATAGCCCAAAGATGAAAACAACAATGGGTGAACAAAATGTGGTCTGTACATACATACAGTGGATTACTACTCAGTACGAGCAATGAAGTCTTCTATGGATGGAGCTTGAGGACATTATGCTGAGTGAAATAAGCCAATCACAAAAGGACAAATATTTTACAACCTCACTTATGTAAAAAGAAACAAATGGCAAATGCACAGAGACTGAAGTTTATTAGAAACTACCAGAAACACAAGGAATGGAGAAAAGGGGGGTTAATAGTGATGAAAAATGTATTCATTAAGGATAGTATTGCACAACCAATTATTGTAATTGCTGTTAATATAATTGTGGTGGTGGTGTGCTGTGGCATCAGTTCCAACTCATAGTGACCCTGTATAGACTTTCCTGGTAGATTTGAACTACTAACCTTGTGGTTAGCAGCCCAGCTCATAATTCATTATGCTGCCAAGGCTCCTTTAATGAATTGTACACTGGTAAAAAGATGAATTAGCAAAAGTTGTATGATACGTTCACAACATCATCATAAGAGGAGGGGGAGAAAGTAGCTTATGTACAACCAAACACCTCATGAGATTTGGTTCCTTGGTTTGGAGAGTTAGGGTTATGGTTTCATGGGACATTCTAGTTAATTGGACTAATAATGCTACTATTCTACCTTATGGTTTGTTGTGTAGTGCCTGGCATCTTAAAAGCTTGTAAGTGGCTGTCCAAGGCACAACAATTAGTCTATGTTCACCTGGAACAACAGAGGAAGGAGTCAGGAACAGGAGGAGGAAACGGAATACGTGGTTAATTGCCTCCATGAATAACTGCCTCTTTTGCCATGAGACCAGAAGAACTGGATGGTGCCTGACTACCATTGCTGAATATATTGATTTAAAAAAAAAATGCCAAAGAAAAATCCTGATCAAAAGGGGGAAAAATATAGAACAAAATGTTAAATTCTTATGTAGACTCTAGCCTTTCTGGAGTAATGGAGCATGGATGAACCTTTGAAACTATTTGAGACCATCTTTACACCTTAAATAAAAAAAAATCTCCTGACAGCATTTTAAAACTGAACAATAGTTTAGCTTGTTGTTGTTGTTAAATTGATTCCAACCCATAGCAACCCTGAGCTTGAACCACCAACCTTGCAGTTGAAATGACTTTGCAGTCTGACGCATTGGCCCACAGCACCACACTAGGATTCCTTAGCTAGTAAAAGAAAGGTCTGCCTTTATAGTCTTTTGAGATCTATCTATAGTATACCAAATAGATAATGGCAATTCAAAAGATTAGGTAGGAACCTTAGGGTGCTGTGAGTTTATGTTAAGGATGGAGGAACAACTCAGAAAAAGGAAGTCAGAATGGTTATACAACTTGAGAATTATAATTAATGTCGCTAAATGTAAAAGCTGTTTAATCAGTGTATCCTTTGCTGTGCATATTCTCAATGACAACAAATAACATTTAGAGGAAAAGAAAGCTACCATAAGGTATAGTTTACATCTTCAGCCAGGTGGAATTGCAAGAGCAGAACATTTGAATATTAAATTTTAATAAATATTAGAATTCAACTTTTGACTAACCAGTGAGTGGTCCAGGAGAGGAACTACTAGAGTACTCACTGTCTTAAAAGCTAACCCAAGGGAGGGGTAAGCCTGGTTTTTTCATTATGGTACCTGCCAAAGGCAAATTTCTGATTTGATTTGATACTAACTACCATTAACCAAATGCTTTCCCCCCAGTGATCAGGGTGTATAATTTCAAACATTTTGGAGTGGTGTCATAATTTACCCCCAAAGTTCAGGCTTCCTAACCATCATTTTAGGATGGCCGTAAATAGACATGTGGAGAAGTCCACCTGTGTCACCTACTTTCCTGATAAGAAAATTTAAAAACGGCTTATGTTTTGAAAGAAAATCTAAAAGGAATGTGAGGGAAGTGTAAGAATAGAAATCAGGTAATCTACTTTCCTCCTAAACTCTCCTCCCCATCTGTCAGTCTGACATAGTGTGATGACCTTTCTTGTTGCTATGTTGTTGGAAGACAGTATTTCAAATATCAGTAGGGTTACCCATGGTAGACAGGTTTCAGAGGAATTCCCAGACTAAGAATAGGAAGAAAGGCATGGTGATCTATTTCTAAAAATTACTCAATGAAAACCTTATAGATTACAATGGAGTGAGTTCAATATGGATTTCATTTTTACTTTAATTTGAAATTGTTTAGAAATAACCAAGAAAGTCCACATACACTCAAGACTCACAGACTCATACACACTAGCACATATACAAATAAACGCAGTATATTTACTCAAAATGCTGTACTAAGCACAGAGATAAAATAAATGCAAGAGACAGTCAAGGGACTCCTGGAGAGCAATCTTTGGCTCCAAAAAGAAGACCTCACTGGATTATTACTAAATCCGAATAAATGCTGCCTTTGTAGGAATATTTAGGCCCCACAGAAGGGCGTGGTTCTCTGCAATAGTCCCTCTGTGTGAATCTTCTCCCTTGCTCCTCAAGCCCTTTCCCTCAGGCCTCTCTTATTCTTCCTCCCATCTTTCATTATAAATTGGGCCTTCAAGACCATCCCAGCAGCCCAGTGCCCTGAAATACTGCAAACAAATTAAAGAGCCTCTGAAACTCTTGGGTTTGAAGCCAGAGAAGTGCCTGCTTCAGTCTTGCGCTGAGACCTGATACTTCTAGGCAATCTGGTTTTCTTCGCGCCCCTGCTGCTTCAAGGGCGCCAGATCAAGTCCCAGCATTAGGTCTTTCAGGGGAAGATCTTTCCCAGGGCCTTTAGGTCATGGCTGGTTAGGCGGTGTGATGGTGATGGGTTAGGGAGCAATTTGCGGTTCCAGAGATATTTCTCGGGGAGAAGCGCCGTGCGGGCTCGGCTTACTTTTGGGAAAGCGGACCCTCACCCAGATCCTGGCCTGCTTTCGGAAGGACGGGGACAGGACACTTGGTCTTGGTGGGGATAGCCAAACGGTAGTCGCCTCACCAGGCTCTGACTCCCTGCAGCGTGGCGGGCAGATGGCCCTCCGGGCAACTGCCAGTGCCGTCCATGCCGAATCCCCCGCGGGCGAGGAGTGCGGACGGCGCGGGGCTCTGCGACACTCCCACGTAGTTGCCGCCGAAGCCTGTACCATAGGGGGCGCCCACGTAACCTCCATAACTGGAATAGGGCGCTGCGGCAGGGCTGTAGGCGCTCGGAAAGGCAGGCGCGCCACGACTCAGGCAGGGCTTGCCGTCCCGCACCAGCACGGGCACCGCCACCCGCCGCGGCGCTAGGGGGTGTCCTGCCAGTTCCAGGGACTTGTCCTGGCGCTGCCTCTTGCACTTATAACGCCGGTTCTGAAACCAGATCTTGACCTGCGTGGATGTGAGCTGCAGCACGCCGGCCAGGAGCTCGCGCTCAGGCGCCGACAGGTACCTCTGCTGCTTGAAACGCCGCTCCAGCTCCAGCACTTGAGTCTGCGAAAAGAGCACCCGCGGCTTCCGCCGCTGCCGCGCCTTGGGCTGCTCCGCGCTGCCGCCAGACTTGCCACGCTCACACACCCTGTTCCTGCTGTCGAGGGGCGAGGCCGCGCTCAGACCGGGCTCTAAAAAGCACAGGAGGGAACACCATCAGCACCCAGCCTAAGAAATTCCTACTTTGCCTTTAAGAGTTCCCTTTCCTACACAATTGGTAGGAAGTCATGCATTTCTGCGCATGGTAATGGGAAATTTGGCAACGATTATTGGCGATCGTTACACAATATGAATAATGTAATTGTCACTAAATTGTACACGTGTGGCATTGGCAAATGTTGTGGTATATAAAGATACATAACAAAGATATTCATAGATCGTAAGCACATTATTTAAGTTGTTAAATGCCTTCCTGTAGTTCTGACTCAATAGCCACCGGCAAAGTGTTTCCGAGACTATAAATCTTTGTGTGATCTGAAAGCCTCTTGGTTCTCCCGAGGAGCTGGGTGGTGGGTTCCATCGCCAACCTTGCTGTTAGCAGTGCGTATCTTATAACATGACCAGTGCTCTAAGCAAATTATTGTTTTGTGTTGTTAAGTCCATTCTTACTCATAGCGATCCTGTATAGGGTTTCTGAGGAGCGCAAGGTGTGTTTGAACCTCTGACTTTTCCATTAGAAGTCCAGTGATTACTCTACAGCATCCAGTGTTTATCCTACAACACCACAACAGGGCTCAAAGCAAGTCATTAGGGAGCATTGCTTGGAGTCTTGGCGTGGTACTATAGGATAAGCACTAGACTGCTATCAAGAGGTAAAATAAAATATATACTTAACTGACTTTTCACGAAGAATGTATTTCAGTTGAGTGTTGAATTTATTGTAAAAAGAAAATAATGAAAACAATCATGTGTCACACAGAGATGTAATAATTATTAAATGAGTATTAACAGACAAAAGAGAACTCTCCCTTTCTGAACAGCCTCCCCCTCTCCTCAGGTGAGTCCCATTGTACCTTCTCTCCAAGCTCTGTCACTTTTGTAGCTTCCATAACATACGAGAACGGGGCCACTCTGATGATGTACACACGTTTCCTTAAAGACAGACTCTTCATCAAGTGTCTAAGGCGGCTCTATTTTCTTATTAGAATGAACATAAGTGGGAGGGTAATTCCCTGGGATCTCAAAAGTAACTAACGTATGACTGCTAGGCTATAGTGTTAGTATAGAACTAACCTGGACAATCCTTGGAGAAGACAGATGTGGAGACACACATACACTCTCTCTCCACACCTGTCTGCCACCGTGTCCAGAGAAAGCTCAGCGTTTTCCAGGAGACCTTTCTACCTTCGTTTCTTTGGTCACTGTCCCCTAAAGAATCCTAGTATATTCAGTTACCAGCCCAGCAACAGAAGAATCTTGAAAGTGTCTCCAATCTTTGCATAAACGCTTGTCTTTTTAGTCATCCCTGCACCAGGGACCCATCCCATCTTTCTTGGGGCCCCGCTCTGTTATCCAAATTATTCAAACAAAATAAAACAACAAATTATTTCTTGATTCTTGGTTCGGAAAGTGAGTTTGTTTTTTGGGGGTATAGGAAGCTGTAATGAACATTTGAATTTTTAAAACGTGGTCTCTTCTTCTCTTGGTGTTTTCTCGTCGTGGCATGGGCTTAGCCCTTCACATCCTCTTCTCCAGAGGAAGCGCCCCAGCCGGCCAAGAATTCAGAGAGGGCTTCAAGCAGGATCCAGTTAAAACAGGGCTCAGACACCAACTGCTGATTTTGTACCTAAAGCCCTGAGAAGATGCATTGTTTTCTTCCTTTCACTCCATCTCTCTCCTCTCTTGGCTTGCAAGGATGGAAAGAAAGGAAACAGGTTTTTGTTTTTTTCTAATTAAAATTCACGCTGGTAGAAAATAAAAAAAGTCATGAAGCCGGGCAAGGCACACCTGAATAACCACAACTAATTCTGGCCTGTTTTCGAGTGCTGGAATCCGATTCCAAATCCCCAACCACTTTGGCACATCTCCTGGGGGAATGGGGCTGTTTGGTATTTGACGTTTGAGGAAAACAACAAGGCAAACCCCTTTAGAGATGCCTGCGCTAAGAGACCGGATGAGAGAAATTGAGGATTTCTTTCCTGGCAAAGAGGGAGAATACTGATAAAACTTTGTCTTCTTAGAAAATCCGCGATGCTTTGGAACAAGAAGGACCTAATTTCCAAGTTGCCAAAGACGCTGGCCGAGTGGTTGTGGGGTTGGCCAGTACTGGTTAGAGATTCACCTCGCTCAGGTTCCAGCCCCGCGACATCCTTGGGTACACAATCCGAGCCTCCCGGGCTCCGCGAGTCTACAGTCTGGGGGCAAAAGGCAGCGCGCCGAGTTCACAGCGTGTAGCGCCGCCGATGCCATTAGCTTAGTTACAGAAGCTGGCTTCAGGCTCCTGGGCAGTCTACCCTAGCCGCAGAAGAGACGTCACTCGAGATCCTAAAGAAAGAACGGGTGGCGGGAATCTTGGGCTGAAAGGCTACTGAGGTGATCCGAGGAATTTATTCCTTTTTCAGTGGAGCCGAAGTGAAAAGCCGAGTTAAGAAAATTTAGCATCCGCAGCAGAAAACAAACACACCATCCTTTTTTTTTTGAGAACACAGCGATTGTGCCAAACCAACCTGTAAGTTGTTGAATAACTCCGCACCAGCCTCTTTATTTAGTGAGCCAGTAACGTAGTACGTACATTAAGAATCTGCTAGCCGTTCTGCGAAAGAAAGACAAGACTTGCTCCAGTAAAGATTCACAGCCTCGGAAACCTGCTAGGAGTCATAATAACTCGACTGCACAGCACCACCAATCTCTTTCTTATTTATTTGATTAGTTTGCTCTTTGGATACACAGGCCCTGGCAGCAGCCTAGCAGAGCCCTTTAGAGCGCTCACGCTTCTTGCTCAGAGGCCAAGGGTTCTGTAAGAGGAAGACGGACTATTCATCTTTAGGAATGAATGCCTTCCTATGGAAGCCTCCTGGGTCCCAGGAGTCAACCCAGCAAATAGGTTCTTGTCCTTCTCTTCCTTCAGGTTGGACTCAGGTGCAGGGGCTCGCCGTTGCACCCTCAGTGGCCAGGTGACCAGCTGGCCGGGCCTGGACCTAAGCCGTTGCCCATGGCACCTAAAACCAGGTTACTCTTAACATGGTCTCAGACGCCGAAACATGCTTCCAGCGCCCGCTTCTGGGCCCACTCCAAGGGACTCGACACGACCTGGTCCCCAACTCTAGTCTCGTTCCAGAGGAGGAACTCTAGTAAAGGAATGGCAGTGTTGGGACAGGTCATTCAGAAAAGACAGAGCTAGGATTGACAACTAGAGTTTCCGGAGGCTTCACGTAGTTGAGTATAGAGATGGAAGGGAAGGGGTTCGCTCATGTGTTGGGGGGGGAGGGGAGAGGGGGAACACAGCTCAGATATTGTTGGGGGAAAAAGAAGCTAGGGACTGTGAGCGGTGTGATGAGTTTTTGTGGGAATCGGAAGAAAGGCGGTGGAACAGTGAAACCCTAAGAGTTCGGGGCCTGGTTTACGGATAGAGTGGCTAAGGAAAATGGCGAGAGATTTGCGCCCAGAAAACTAGAAACTACGTTCCCCCTATCCCCCACCGGTCGGTAGTGGTGGTGGTGGTGGTAGTGTGCCGTGGAGTCGGTTCAGACTCCTAGTAATCTCCCTTTATAATACCCCAGCAGGAGCCGAGACCTGAACGTATACTCACTTGGCTCCTCCATCCGCTCCGCGTCTATTTCCAAGATCTTTTCACAGGAACCTCCTGGAGACTCTGAACATTCATGCCTCTTCCAGTTGCTACTGCAGCTATCGGCGTTGAGAACCTCCCACCCGGACGGTTCCGGATCCTGGAGCTGGTACGGAGAGTTTTCTGGGTTCCCCTGAGGTCCCAGGAATGTTGAGGTCTTGGGGCGGCTTTGCTCGCCCTCCAGCCGCAGGATGTCGTTGACCGAGAAGGGGGTGGAGGTGCCAGGGCTCAGCAGCATACTGAAGGCAGAGGGGGCTGGGCTGGCGCCTTCCTGGTCCACGCCGGGTGCAGCTCCCTAAACTACCCGGTCCGTCGCTGCAGGTTCAGTGGCCCCCAACCCTGGGACAGCCGCCCAGAGTCCGGGCCTCGCTGGGCCATCCCTGCTGGCGTTAGGGTCGGGGTGCCGGGGGAAGGGAGGGCAGGACGGGAGGACCTGATCGCAACCCCAATTGGTTCCCGCAGAAATCACGTGCTAATCTTGTACCGCCCCTGCACTCCCCCACATAGCGCTTTCTGCTCACGACCCTCCATTCCTGCCTATTACAAATATCTCCCGGGAAGATTTGGTTCGTATAGACGGCTCACAAAAGAAAACAAACAAACAAAACAAAACTGGAGAGATGGTGCTGCGCGCGGCTTGGGACTCGGACGTGGAAGGAATCCCGAGCTTCGGCAGTCAGTCCAGGTTCCGCCGGGACCTCTGAGAGGATATGCGAGAGGTGGGGTTGAAGTCCATGCTGCGCAAACTGACACGGTCCCTTCAGATTGGCGTTTGTTCAACTCTCTACATCCATGGCGGAGGACAGTCCACAAGGATTAAGGTGCGCAAGTGCTCAAAGGCTGGACCGCCGAGGAAGAGCGAGTCTTAACTCGCTGGGGCCTAGACTGGGCTGAAAGGTCTAAGAGTATGGCCTGGGTGCACCCAATCAGTTGCTTCCCAGGAACTGGTACTGGAACGAAGAAGGAGCGTGAAGGTTAGATCTGGGGAGCCTCTGCTGCTTTGAAGTTTCTCCTTTGACTTCGCGAGGTTGGGAAGAAGAGAAAATACCTGTCCGGAACCCGTGCAAGGGTCCCAGAGAGAGGCTTAACTCGCCCTGCATGTCCTCGTTTTCTATCTCTTCCTCCTACATAAATAGATTGTCTGCCTGTATATAATAGTACTAACGCGACGGCCCACCAAAGGAATGGGAAGTTTTAATGAGTATTGTTATTGCTGTTAAATGTTGTGGAGTCGGTTCCGACTCACAGCGACCCTGTATGGGGTTTCCGAGGAGAGTCTGGTGAGCTTGAACCGCCGGATCTTTTGGATCAAACTGACTTTGTAGTCTAAATTATTAATCCACAGCGCCACACCAGGACTCCTTTAATGAGCATTGTTGTTGTTGTTAAGTACCATCAAGTCGATTCCGACCCATAGTGACACTGTATAGGTTTCCAAGGAGCAGCTGGTGAGCTTGAACCACCGATCTTGTAGTTCAAACGGCTTTGCAGTCTGGCACATTTACCCACCTTAATGAGCATTGTTGTTGTTATGTGCCTTGGAGTCAGTGCGGACTCATAGCGATCCTGTACAGGGTTTCCGAGAAAAGCTCTCGCATCGAGTTAACCGAGTAAAGGGAGGCAGTGAGGTCCAGTGGGAAAGAGCATTGTCATGTGAGTCAACAGGTCTAATCCTTGCTCAGGACCATTGTGAGTTTTTTGACAAACTAACTTCTCTGAACTTTAGTTTCAATACAGATGACGAATATGCCTATTGTAGGATGATTGGATTTTTGAGAAAATTAACCTGATAGCATCCCTGCAAGCCTGAATTGACACAGCCAAGTGGGTTTTCTGATTTTTAATGTGCATAAAATCATCAAGGAATATCCTTTGCTATTATCATTCATACTACAAGAATCAAGAAAACAGGATTTAGTGTCAGCTGTCCCAGACACAGACTCAAAGAAGTTTTTAAATCAAAGTGGTATTTTACTAGAGTTCATTTTGGACTTTCAAAGCAAACGTTTCTTAAATAAATCGTATGCAAGTTCAATATCCCAAGAAAGGTCAGGCGTTATTTCCGGAAATCTGCATGACATGAATTTATTCTTTTGAACAAAATTATTTCAGAGACAATTTTGTGATCACTCAACTATCAGTAATGAGTTCATATACATCATATCAAGGATTGAAATGTGTCACTCCCCCCTCCCCCAATATGTGTTCTAATTCCTAACCTTGGGTTATAATCCCATTTGGAAATGAACTATCTTTCTTATGTTAATGAACAGGATTAGTGTAGGGTATGTTTTAAATCAATCTCTTTTGAGATACAAAAGATATTAAATAAGCAAGCAAAAGAATTACAGATTGCAGAAGACATATGCTAAACTACATGGCGATTAGGAGCCAAGTTCAAAAAAGACAAGGACATTCCATCAGATCTGACAGAAAGAGAAAACTATCCTCTAGGGCTGGTACTCTGAATTTGGATTTCCAGCTTCCTAAACTGGTGCTATGGGATAATGCTTCAGACTGCAAAGTTGTTTGAACTGCAACGTCGGTGGTTCAAGCTCCCCAGCTGCTCCTTGGAAACCCTCTACAGGGTTGCTATGGGTCAGAATCTACTCAATGGCACTTAACAACAACAAACAGTGAGAAAATAGATTTGTGGCTATTCCAACAACATCTAAGCTATATTCTCCCCTCCTATTTCTTTCTTTTTATTTTGATTTAGTGAAGAGTCACAATCAGAAAAATAAAAGACTTCCAAGTTGGTCTAGCTGGTTAAAAGTACTTGGGGATCTAAATGACAGTAACAATTTCCTTCTCCTGAGATAAGCTTTTCCCTTAGAAATGTCAAAATCTTGTGATGACCTACATGTTTATTTAAATTTCACTATTTTATTCTAATTATAAAATAAGTAATCATACATACTTTTGAAAACTTGGAAAATATGGGAAGTGGGAAAGAAGACAACTTCCATCAGCAGATACCATCTTAGAGCACACGTCCTTCTATGTATATTTTACATATCTGCGATCACATCATAAGGCTCATGTGAGTTTGTGTATTTTGAACTCACATAAACATATCCAGCACTTCAGTTTTTACCAATGTAATTTTAAATGACAAGGTACTAGTCCGTTTTGGAGATGGAGCCTAATAGACTATTTAAACTATTCGATTCTATCTAAATTTTTTTTTTTTTATCACTGTAAATAAGCGTTCAGAGAACATCTTTATGCCTTCATCCTTGTCAGTATTTTAGATTATTTCTTCAGGATAAATATGTGGAAGACACTTTAATGAATCAATTATTTTAATGCTCATAAAACATATTACCCACTATGTTATCCCAATAGAATATCGATCTGGGAGATATTTACAACAATTGGGCACCGCACATAAACAAGGAATTGATAGTGTTTCTACTCATCTATCTGTGGGTAAGTGCACTGCCGGCCTCTCCTCATTGGGTTCGGTTCTCAGCCTTCAAAAGGCTTGCGAGGAGAAGAGGCGGCCAGATAAAAACATGAAGACACAAACCTGTCAGCGCGTTATCATATAGTGAAATCTCTCAGTGGATTGTCACACTGTAGGAAATCATATTAGAAAAATTTCCAGAGGAGGGACTTGGAGTCAAAAGCCCTGAATTTAAATACTTACTTCAGGTTCCAGGTCTTACGTAACTTTCCTGATTTGCTGCAAAAGTCAGAGGAGATCCTGGACTCAAAACACAAAACCAAAAATGTCTTCCTAAACGTCTTGTGTACTGCAATCGCGAGTCCTTTCATGAAAACTGCTGCTTTGGTTCATGCTCCGGTCGCCGGTCGGTGCAAACCTAGGAGAGGTGTCGGATACCCCTGTAGTGCAACCGGAAGGGAAATTGGAACCGGATGTTCAGGTCTCCGGATAGGGGTAAGGTGTGTGTGGGTGGGTAGAGGCTTTCTCTACTTGCTTGGCTCTCTTTCTCCCTGAGTTCTGAGCGCTAGCCAGTCGAAGCAAAGAAGGGATTTCTATGTCTTCCCCTTCATTCTCCTCCTCCAGCGTTAGGGTGCACGAAGAGCGTCCGGCTTGAAAGTGAGTCCACTAACATTAATCTTGCCTATTAGGGGTCATTTGGAGCAATATTAACACCAGTCCCGCGGCTTAAGTAGCGCCGGGGGCCAAGTCACATGCTGAAGCATCAGCGCCAAGGAGCGGCGAGGGTTAAGCAAGGCGAGGCGGGGCAGTGAGATTGGAAAAGCCAGACATTCTGGAGTCTCTGAAGGTTGAGATCTACGCAGTCCAGTATGGTGTGGGTGGTGGTGGATCCTGGTGCTGGTGGTGCCTGTCACTTGATCATGAGTAAGGACATCGTCATTTCTGTTGTTAAAACGGCTGACATGAGTTCTCTGAGCGGTGGTGCCAGGGGTGTGAGTGGATCCATCTGCCCTGCTTCACCCAGGTCACTCAAGAGTCTACTCAAACCAATGCTAGGCCACCGGCACTACTCAGGTTCTGAGGAAATTAGTGTCCCAACCCTTCTATCTGAACTTGCATTCTTACACAAGATATGGACTTGTAAATTATTCCTATACCTTACACAATCACAAGGGGATTTGCACAAGAGATTTATTGAACCGCTTTCTATACATGGTTACCCAAATATCTTTCCTCCTCCTGCTTTCTCCAAAAGATTGCGTCTTTAAAATTCGATGTAAAACTATTTCAGATACAGTTTGGTTCTGATGAGCCCTGCAGAGTTACTGAAAATCGACAGTCTTTAACGTGACTGCGAGGGGGTATGCCCACTAGACGGGCTTAGAGCACTGGGTCTGTTGCTAGCCTGCATTCCCAGGACCTAGACCAGTTCTGGCATATAGATGTCCAATAAATATTTGTTGAATAAAGAAACCTGTTGTTTGCGGACCAAGCTGTCCTCCCCTAGCACATTATCCTGGGGAAGACTCTGAACCACCTAATGAATGACAACATATTCTACACTGCCACTGTCCCTTTTCCTGGAACTCACTTTTTAATATTATAATTACTTGTTGGTTATGTTTTGAGTAGGCAAACTACTATTAACCTGGTTCTATTATTCAGAACCATAGGAAAAGGTATACTCAAAGAAGTGCTACTGACTGCCCTTCCTTTTTTGGGGGGATTTCTATTCACTTACAATTTCATTAGTTTAATCTTTCTGTGGGTAGGTTTTCTTTTCTTTTCTTTTTTTTTTTTCTTTCTCACAAATGAACAGATCTATGTAT